GAGAGAAAATAGAGAAAATGTATTCTCTTAGGTGTGATTTTCATTATAACTGAAGCTCCTATTTATAGGAAACTTCTGATGGCACAACTCGTAATAATACAATTACATCAAGGGCAAAATAGTCATTCACATATACATATATTATTTGTGTGGTTCATAACAGTCCTAATGTTCTTTAAATAGTTGGCTCGGGTCATAGTCAAAATATGTCGAAAAATCCGTCGAAAAAAGATTGGTCAAAGCAAGACCCTCGTGTGAAATGATAGAGACCCCGGCTCAGGACCCTTCGGATCGACTTGAATCTTGTGAGTCTTATGCGTCCAAAACAGCTCGAAATCCAGGTTATGACGGAGTTGTCATTCCCTACGTCACGAAAAAATTAAGAAAAAATGAGGAAAAAAAAGAGAAATAAAATTTTGGAGAACGAGACATTTGAAACTTGTAGGTACCAAGGTTTTTTTAGGGGATATAACAAAACTTGCAGCAACAATTATTTGAAGAAAGGGGCTTTGGAATATATGATGGCAATCTATCTTTGACTTGGGAGTAGTATAGTCGTAGTTGTGCACTTGGTGTGATTGAAAAAGGAATTTCAAGCAGCAAATATTGCTTTTTCCTTGGGCAATAGGAGGAGATGCGTGGAGATACACAACCATGGAGCAGCAATTAATTTCTATTTTTTTCCCTTAAAGCTTCAGGGTGGAGTCCAAGTAGCAACGTTGATTCATTTTCTAAGGAGCGCATGATTATTTTCTAGGAAGTGTAGTATTCTTGGATAGCAGCCACTACGTGGCGATTATTTTTGAAAAACGGACGAGCAAGCATACTCGAGGAGTTTGGACGGGACTTGGAGATCGAGCCTTTCATTATTCTCTTGAACTTTTGTGTTATTGATTGATACTCATTCATCATTCTTTTGAGAGTATTTTTATTATTATTTTGATAGTCTGATTTGATTCTCATTTGATATAGATTAATTTTCATATATTATGATTATTTCACTAGATGCTCTGGGTTGTATGAAAGATTTTGTGTTTAGTTTGGTCTAGTAGAATTTTTTGGCATCTTAGTCTACAAGTGTTTATTACTTGTAGGCTAAATTTTTAATCTTTCGTATTTATTTATTTTCCGCTACATATTTTAATTTTTATTTTTGTGTGAAAAATCTAGAATTTTCGGTAACTAAAATTCTAAAAAGTGGTACCAAAGCAGGTCATTTAATTTAATTATTGTGATTCTATTTATTGAGGTACGTATGGAGTTTACGGAGTTGCCGTTACCCGCTCTTATTCCGAACCAGACAAAGTCATCAAACGAAAAGATGAAATATGATGAATTTAATGCATCGGAGGAATCAACGGTTGAGTATGGACCTAAAACTGCCTCCGAAACTGACTTCATGAAAACCATGGGTGAATCGAGGCCAAGAAAAATCGATCCAGCAGGTATCGGACGAGGTGTCGCCCGAAATGTCATGACACCTGGCAGGTATGAAAATTTAAATTTTTTTGTCTTAACACCGTGTCTTGTGACTCTTCAGGCAATGATATAGATCATTCAGATAGCATTCAATATTTTAACTTTGATCATTCAGATAGCATTCAAAATCGGTATGCATTAATTCCATCCTTAATTGATGTGTTTTGTAATTAAATCGGACAGATGGACTTCAAGTAAAAACATGTCTCATTTCAAATTTAAGTTTAAATCTTAAAATTTCTTATTATTTTGTTACATTAAAATCAAAAATGAATTGTTTGCCATAAAATCGGACAAAATAATAATTGCATAGAATTCAAGTAAAAACATGTCTCATTTAAAATTTAAATTTTAAAATTCCTTATCATTTTGCTACATTTTCGAATGATTTGGTTCCCATAACATCGGACGGAATTAATAATTGCATAGAATTCAAGTATGATTCGAATTTATATCGAGGATGTTTAATAATTGCATAGAATTTCAAAAATGTTTATTTATTATAAAAAAATTAAATTCTACAAAAACATTTGTGTATATTTTGTAAAATATTTGTACAAAATATTTTACTTTAAATTATTAACATAATTTAAATTAGTTACATTAATAAATAATTTTAACATACATTAAATATTTTAATTACATAAAACAAAAAGAAGAAGAAGACTACATCTATAACTTGTATAAATGATAATAATGACATTATATTACAATAAATTTTATAATAAAATTATATGAGTATTATACGAGGAACAAGATTACGTAAAATTGTTATTTTTCTTATATCAAGGAATAAATATATATAATGAAATCAAATTTATATTATTATAAACATGTGAGCGAGATAATATATTATTTAATTTACGAGCTAGCGCTACCAGGCTAAGGTTTAATGTCTCGACAAAAAAAATGACATTGATGAAGGAGGTAAAAAAAATAGATAATCAAACTCTATTATTTTTTAAGCCTGAACTGACAAGCCCTATTGTCCACTCATTTAATATCTCCCGTGAATCGCACGAGCTACTTAACGGACAAGCTCTGTAGAAATTACTCATTTAATACTTATGTCCCGTGCATCACACGAGCTATGTACTAGTTTCTATATACATAATTGAAAAAAAAAAATCATTGCAGATAAACTGCACTACATAACTAATTTTATCTATACCAAAATTGCCACAATGCATACCAAAAATACAACAGGGGTATAATTGGGGGCACATGAATATCAAACAACTTAAATAAACAATTGGCAAAATTTTGTACATACCACAAGATTTTAAAAAAATTGTAAAAATACGAAGAGATCTTAATTGCATGGATACCTATTGAATTGCTTTTATTTGTTAATAAAATAGAAACTTCTTTACCTTATTAATCCACTTTCCTACAACCACACAAAGATTGGATTAAAAAATAAGGTAACTGTGTTTCACCAAAAAATCCGTATTATCTGTTCATATCTAATGGAAAAAAGAGTTAAAATTTGAAAATTCAAACGTATAAGAAAACACGAGAAGAAAATATACACAATACACACGATATCAAAAAATCAGTCCCTGTTGATGATCTTAAAACAGAACTTAGATATTCCCAATTATAGAACATATACAGAACATATACATCTCCTCATCGCCGATCCATTGCAGAACATATACAAAACATATACAAAAACATGTCCAGAACATATACAGAACATGCACAGAACATGCACAGAACATGTATTCAACGCAGGACATAATTTTACGTGTTGTGGGCGTGAAATTTTTTTATTGTTATCGCCGAGGTCTGACTGAAAATGGACCGAATCGGATGTGGAATCGGCCTTTTCATGATCTAGATCTGAATTTTTTTTTCTTTTTTGTTCTTTTGTTGTGGAATCGGCCTNAGAGAGGACACTATGCAATCAATATTTTAATGTAGGCGTGTTTATCTAGTACATATACAAATATTTAGGATTTTAAGGTATATTTTATATTTTATTATGTGACTGGTAGGTAATTATCATTCAGATACCTCCTCTGTAAGGAGGTATGTAATACTACTATAATTTTATTTCAACTACAATAATTTATCAGCTTCATAATAGAGTTAAGGAAGTGTAGTCAAATTGCATACACTCAAGCAAACTTTTAAAACTTATATATAGAGTGAAGTTAAAGTATAAATATAGAGTGAATATGAACAAACTTTTAAAACTTATATTCCATTTAAATAAAGTATACAAAGGATTTTGTCATTATAGTGTTGAAAATTAAAATATACAAGTAAATATTAAATTTAAAATAATAAAATTATTATTCATAATTTACAGAGTCATTGAAATATTAGATTGATAAACACTATTTATATTTAAAATCATCGAATATTATTAACTAAAACATATAATAATTTATTTACTAAAACATATAATAATTTTTAGAAAACATATAATAATTTATTTACTAAAACATATAATAATTTTTAGATACGAGTACTAAGTAGACATGGCCAAATTCGATTCCGGGCCCAGTCCCGGTCGGAAACACTATTCCGGACCAAGGGTTGACTGGCCCTGAACCGCCAGTTCTGGGCCGGTTCAATGAACCGCCATTT